CCATTCTATTATTCTTACAGTATTTTATTAGCTAAGTCATGTGATATTTTCCTGCTCCATATTTGGATGCTGAAATAATACCTAAAACTAACTTAAGGAATGTTCATTATTATATCATACATTATATTAATATGTTCATTATTACATCATACAGCTCCAAGAGAGAGGGGAAAAAAAAAGCTCTTATGCAAAATAACAAAAATGCTATCTACTAGTAAGGAAGCCGTCATGAAATAGCTTACTTCAGTGACTTGTACATGATGCTTGCATTTCCTTTCCATATAGAAGTATTAGGCCAGGAAACCTTAGATTACTTTCCAGGCTCTAAGTCTGAATCTAAAATGAGTATGTGAGCACAGTAAAAGCTAACAGCCCCTCAGTTATATTGTAAGGACATATTAAGCTCTGCTAAGATAGAACTTGAAATGCACACTGCATGGAGTACACAGTTAAAAATCTGGTTTGCATCAAATATTTTCAGTTGGCCTATTCCAATGTCATCTCTGAAGTGATGTCTGAAAATGCAGGTATGTGCATGGGTGTAATAAAGGATGGATGAATCATTACTGAAATGAAAAGTAACAATCAGCAGTGGATGTGTCAACTTGGAATTCAAGAGAAATGGATATGGGTTTTGGCTCTGGCACTGATTTCCTCAACAAACTTGGTTTAGTAATTTCCTTTAATGTCATAGGAAAAAGATGTAAAATGGTGACAGATATTTTCTGAAGCCTTTTGAGAGGTCAATGAAATATAAAAGTATGTATTTGAGAAAGGAAATGATCAGTGTTAATGATAACGGTAAAAATGGATAGCGGTAATACTTGAGTTGAAGCACAAATGAGTTTCTGAGAAACATTCAAATACAACTGTTTCGAAGTGATTGGGATAGCAGATGTTTTGTTAGCCAAGTCCCTTTTCCACCTCTGACATTTTCTGTATTTCACACTTAAGAGTTTCACCAATCAGCACAAATTATTTGTTTACTGCTTAGTAAAAATAACAAAATTGTACTTTTTAAAGAACTCTCTTTCTGATTATGTATACTCCGCTGGCAGGTTGTAATGCATATTGCTTCTTTGTTTACTTAGAACTTAATGCTAATGTCATTAACATTCTGTGTGGTAAGTCAGGAGGTTGCCTATTTATAGACATAACAAAAGTTGTAACTTTTTGTAGTAAAGTGCTTTTGACTGTGCTAGCAAAACTAAAGTTACTCTAACCTGACATTAGCTTTCAGTTTCATTGTCCATGGCCTAGTGAGTCTGAAAAATACTCCTACATGTACTGAATGTATTCTTTTAAATTATTAAATTATTTTAGTTATGTTCTATATTTTTAATAGGGTTTGACTCATCCTTTAAAAAAGAAAAGAGAAATAAACCAAATTAAACAGGAATCACAGAAAACTGAGCTCTGAAGTTTGAAAACTGTCCTGCTTGAAGACTATTTGGAGTTATAACACTGAATTTAATCAGAATCTTCTCCAAATTTTGTTCCGTGATACTTCTTATAAATCAGGTAATTAATTAGGCAGCACTTCACATTTCAGGTTATTACCACAAATGTGGATGTGTGCTTTATTTGAGGTTAGAAAGTGTAAAATAACTGCTGAATTTTGTACTCCATGTTGCCTCTTCATTGTAATGAATTTACAGAATTCATTACAATGAATTCTGTAAATTTCTTTCTACACAGCCTTTTTCTAAGCATTTGTAATACCTTGGTTGCATAAATAACCTCATTTTCTAGGAAAGTTTTTCAATAAAAGCAGTGGGATACCTGTAACAAAAACTGGTAATCACAGAAATGTGAATGAAGTTTGCTTCAAGGAACGCCTAAAACGGTGTTACGTCCCCTGGCCTGGACTGTGGCCACAGCAGCATGAGGCCTGACTGGGACACCCCAGCAGCGCAGCAGCAGAGCTCATGCAAGGTGAGAGCAGGTATGTCTGTAGGCAAAGCTGAGGAAGAGGGTCTGTGTGCCTCCACTCCCTGCTCCTCTCAGCTACCGTGCTGAGGCACCTGGCACCCCTCTCCCATATGCTTGCATTTGTGATGCCTCTTTTGTCCAGTACACACTCCATAATTCCAGAGGGAGAAATAATTCCTTCTTCCTAGGTTGTTACAGCTGTCAGTTCCTTCTTGAGAAAATACAAACAACGAACCAAATCCGTGGTGCAGTGCAATGCAGGATGGCACAAGTGCAGGGCTGGTTTTCTGGGCTTGCTCCTCTGAATTTCCTGAAGCTTTGCCATTGATAAATTATGGCTTTTCTGACCAAGGATGATCACTGCCAAGTGGAAAGTATTGTTATGGCACCTCAGTGTTCAGCCTGTACTTGCTGTTTTCAGCTCCTCAGGAGCTGAAGAGATGAACCAGCTCATCCTGCACAGGGAAAACTAAATGCAGCTCTGGATGTAAATTTTGGAATTTTGTGGATTTTTAGGGGAATACGAGGTAAATTCTGAGTTCTTTTAGGCACTTGTGTGGCTGTCATCCTTGGTGATTTTGCAAAGAAGACTTACGAACTAAATAATCTAAGACAAATCTCTGAATTGAACAGTATCTCTGCAGTGCTGGGCTGAGAGAGCCTTCCTCTGGGGAAGCTTGTGCTGCAGTGCTCTGAAGGAGCTTGCTTTACAGTGTTGAGTCTGGTTGGGGTAATGGATGCTATGGTATCATCACACTACAGGGCTTAAACTTATTCTTAGTGAAATCAATAGATACTTTTCTTGTAAAGCCACTTGAAAAGCTTTTTAAAGGATTATTGGAATTTTTGGATTACCACAGATAAATTCATTCTGTTTCACTGAATTGAATTACAGCATCGTATCTGTTGCTAGTATATTAATAAAATGTATGAAGCCAGCCTTAAAAGGTAGCTCCTTTGTGAAGAGACTTTTTTCTTTAACAATAAGCAGGAAGGATTTTTCAAAGATGTGTATTTTTCCCAGAGTAATGTTGCATACAGACTGGAGATTGCTTCTTCTATTGAATTGCATAATGAAAAATCAATCAGTTTAATGGTTGACAAACTTTGACATTCAAATAAAAATGTTGCTGGTATTTTCATAAAGACCTGTAGGCAAAACTATATTCAGTGACTTTAATTTATGCAATAGTAAATGTCTGCCAAAACATTGTACAAATGACTGTATTAGTCATTAGTCAGCAATAATAACTGAGGAAGCAAAGCAAACAAAGGCCAAATTTCTCAGTTTTTCCAAATTATATACTTTTGAAAAGCCTTTCATTGTAAGGTATGTTTCTACAGCATCCTTTTCAACAGTATATTCTGTTTTGAAAGCAGTTGCTCAACATCATGGAACATATTTATCTGGCACTGTTGAATAGTATCAGATGATAATGTTTAGTTTTTCTGCTTGTTCAGTCTTCTACCCAGGCTGCATTTACTTCTTGACCACTTCTTACTATATACTTTGCAAAAAACATCTAATAAAAAAGCCTTGTTCATAGTGGTTATTTTATATTTTTCATGTGCCTGCAAGCAAAATAGAAGGATAACAGAAGTCCTTCTGCAAAGGAGAAAAAGAAAACAGCAAAAGGCTTGACAGGCTCCTGGCTTTCCACCTATGTTGGTTGGTCTGTTTTGGGTTTTTCTTTTTATTTTCTTTGATTCAGAGGGGAGAGAATTCCCAGTAAGGTAAGAGGACACCTTTGTTCCTCACTCATTTCTGCTTTTAATGTATGTTTGAACACAGCACTTGGAGGAAGAGCAAAAGGCATGCTGAGCTACGCTATCACTTTCAGCCTTTAGGCACTACCATCCTAGAGCCAGGAGACTGGCTTAATAAATGCCATTAGCCTCTGTGCTCAAGTGTTGTCTAGCCATGAGATTTTCAGTAAGACCAAGTTTTGGTTGTGACCATGTGCATCAGCTTTGTTGGCTTCTTTGGATGCAGAGTGTGAGTGCTTCATTTGTCAGTAGCAGTGACTGGAAAGTGTTGACTTGTCTTCCTCCTTTTAGCAGTAAGATAGCTCTTACATCTTCTAAGCTTTGCACAACTTCCAACTCCCATTCCTATATGATCTGGGTAGTTTTGTTAATTCTTTTTACTGTAATTAGACTAGTTTGACCCAATTTGTCCTTCTTATCATTTTCCTGTCATGCATTATCCCAAGCTTTGAATACATTCTTAAATATGACTTACAAGATTACTAAATGTTTTAGTATACGTATGTGTCTGAATTCAAGATATGAACTAAACTAGATGTAAGTTTTATTGCATTATCTTATCGGGGGGGGGGGGGGGGGGATTACTTGTCCTGTGCTGCATTCCAGCTCTTACAAGAGAACTTGGCTGCTGCACAGCCACCTGCTGGTGCGACTTCAGCTTTTGCCTGCCTCTTGTTTGTTTGACTTACAGTTATGTTGTGTTGAGTTCTCAAGGTAGTAACTGTGCCTCTGTTTCAGTAATATCTAATAAACTTCCTGGTGCTATGTTAAATAATGTGCCAGGTAACTCACACGTTCTCACTGGTTACTTGTGTGGTTTGCTGTTTCTTTTCTCAAAGGAAATACCTTTTCATTGTTGGTTCAGGAAGTACATAAGAGTATTCCCTTTTTTTTTCCATGGGATTAATGATAATTATGCTTCTTCTCCACCTTTAACATTCTTCTGATTTTTGTTTTGATATGATGACTCATTTTAAGCATCTCTGGTTTATAACTGGCAAAAACAAATTGAGGAAGTTTGTTGATTTCCCTGTGTCCATAGAAGGAGCAAACGGTAGATCCCCGATTAAAGCATTGTTCCCATTTTTATCTTATAGCTGGAATCAGTGTTAAGTTACTCTATCATCTATTTCTGTAGTAATCTGTGTGGGTGAACTGCAGCAACTCTCTTATCAGTGAGAAATCTGTAGTATGTTTTATTCAAGAACTTTTTTTCCATTGCTATTGATATTAATGCCTAGGTGGAAGCTAGTATGGTGTCTATTCCCAAGTGTAAAAAGGTTTTGGGCTTTCTGTTGTTGTTGTTTAAATATAGCAACTGTAGTGTTTATTTGTATTGCTGCATCTCACAAGTATTTAATTTTTCTAGGGGCAAAATGTCATGCCATGTTTGCACTTTGTAAAAGCTGTGGCAAGGACAGAGATACAGCCATGGCTCAAAGTCATGTCCAGTGTGCAAACTGGCCACACTGGACCTGACTCTGGACACAGAGTCCATGAACTCTGTTCTGTTGCAGTAGAGTTCTGGGGCTTTTCCACTCTTTTTGAAGCGGTATGTGGTAGGATTGTGAGCTACTGAAAACAAAGCCTGTTAGCTGTCCTTGTATCAATCATAAGCAAGAGAGCATGTGTATACTCAGGTATTTCCCTGTCATGGATGTGAAAGAACTCTTAAGGCATAGGGGTTTGGTACTTTAAAGCTTAAGCAATTACTCATGAGGACACAAGTTTTTCTCAGTGTTTAGAAGATTTATGTTTCCTGTTGACACTTGCTGCATGAAAGGAGCATGCATGTTGCATCTAAAGAGCAAGACAGTATTTGCTGTTTACTGTAAGATGAAAATATGCATTAAAAACTTTAAAAGGAAATACAAACTTGAGGCAGTAACTGATTGACATCTGTGGATGTCATTTTTCTCTTGTGATTCTGGCATTTCATGCCTTGCTAAATATCACCCACAGCTATCTGTTGGATGTGTCAGTAAGCGATACAGTATGACAGCTGCTCTTCACCACTCCACAGCATCAGTTCATTCAGTAATAAGCTTGCATGTGTTTTTATCTTTGTTGTCTCTTTCCTAACAGTTCAAAATAAAAATAGTGTTTGTAACTGATACTGCATTCTCCCCAGTCCTAAGGTCTGGAGTAAGCAACCCTGTGCTCTAAGTTATTAACAGTAAGTCTTCTCTTCTTCCGTGGCATGGTGCTGTAATGTACATGAAGTTCCTACAAGCACATTGTGCATTCTTAACAGTCACATTCTGAGCATTACTTATTCTACTAGCAATATAAACGATAACCTATTGTTGATAGGTAACATTGCATTCTGTACATAATATGTTTACAATAGATGTATGGATATAAATGCTGAGTTCCTATTCTGAAGTTACCTTTTTTTTTACTGGTGATTAATAGTTTGGAGTGTTATACGAGCCCTCTTCATGTATATGATCATTGTTACTTGACTGATTTTAGGAGAATAACATATTTATTCAGTTTATGTCAAGAAATACAGCAAAATCGTGCAGTCCTTACTAAAATCTCTTTACAAATACAGTGTACTTTTAAAATTATTGTATGCATTCTGGATTGTTTATGATTCTACCACTGTTGTTGGTTAAAAAAAATCTTTAAAAGTTATTACTATTTTTACTTATAAAGTATATATTATAAAGTAAAATATATTTTACTTGTAAGTAATGCAATAGCTTTGATATATTTCTCTTGCTAATGCTGTTAAGCAACACTTGCCAGTGATTGGCTGTATCATTTTTATAATCACTATAGCTATAGTGTGGTAATCTAATATATCTGAATATAGTATATCTAAAATACAAGGGGTTTTCCCAAAGTTCTAATTTAGAATGAGATGCCTGACTTCAGTCAGAGAAGAGGCAGGTATCAAATGCTTGCTTTTGCCTTTGAAAGCTTACCCCTAAAACTGTTTCTGGCAAATGAAGTGATATGCACAGTATCTTGCTTTTTTTACTTGACTCAGAGCTGCTCAGTTGCAGCAGATTTGCTGCTGCAGACAGTTGTTGGGAAAAATCAGTTGGATGTTATGGTAGATGCCTGTGATTTTTGAAGCAGAAGGACTGAATTCTGTCATTTACAGCTCCAAAGTTCTGAGTACCTTAATTTTCAGACTCCTACATCTTTGAAATTGTACGTGGTGCAGATTTGCTTAGGTCATTCTTAAAAAAAATGTCTTCAACTATAAGGGCACCAATGTCCACAGAATATGAAAACGTCAGTCAGAAAGGCTAAACTTCTAATGTGTTGATGTGCATGCTTATGTAATTTACACTAAATACCAGGGGCTGTATAAGGTAACAAACTAAGAAATGAGATTGATACTGCTGATCTACAAAATGGGTCTGTTTAATGAAAGGCAAAATGTTACTGAGCTGAGACTGCTGTTGGCTTTAAATGCATGTAATTCCCAATACACCAACAACTAACCAGTGGATATTTCAGATGTTATATGAGTGGTAAACATTTATTTTTCCTTACAGTGATGTAGTTCTGGGTGTACTCAGTAAGCTTTCTGTAATGGAGGACAATGATTATTTATAGGAAAAATTAGTTGTAGTGGGGTTTTTGCATACCACCATCTTTTTTGTTCATTGCCAAAATGTAAACTTACCATGTAAAAGCAGAGAATAATTGTAGTGAAAGAGAAAACTGGTAAACACTGAGATAAATGATGACAAAGAAAGTGGGGTTTAGAGTCAGTTCATCTCCTGCCTGAAATAGAGCAGGAGTTGCGTCAAGTAGGGTTCTTCAGGCTCTAAGCTACTTGTTCATAAGATATTGTATCATTTGATTTTCATGTGAAAAAAACAGATCCTGCTTACATCTTCAGTCTAATGGACTCTAAGTGAAGCTTACCTGTAAAGAGGTGGTTGGGGCTTATCTCAGTTTTATTTTGGCTAAAATTAATCTTTTATTTAAACGTACTTTAACACCAGAAAATTCAATTCTGTTGGGCAAGGAATATAGCTTAAAAGATATTTTTGAAACTGTGCAAGAGGATATATTCAGCCCTTTGTGTCTGAGTTAAAGGGAACAAGTTCAGAACTGCTGTTTTTCTAAATCCGGCTTCAGTTTGTAAAGCCATTCTAGATTATTCTGTAGGTGGTGTTGAAGTTGGAGCTTCATAGCTAACTAACTACCAGCACGCTAGTATGTGGATACATCGCAAGTAATTAAAAATGAAGCAACAAAACTTTCTTGCTTCTTCCTGACTAAAGCGTGCTTTCTCAGCAGTGGAACTGAAGCAGTTTGCTAACCTCCAGCACTTGTGTCAGCAGCAAAATTGAAAGTATTTTTTGTCACCTGCACTGCTGTCAGGAGGGGAAAAAAAATAGAAAGTAGAGGAGCATAATTTCAGCACTAACATAAGTATCAGAATGATTTACCTGTCTGTTCTGCTTCACTTTCATCTCAGCTTTCAGGGCTTCATTCATCAATCTTTTATTTACACACGCATATCTCATTTTTACACAATTTCTTTCTCCCTGACCAGATGGCTGCGTTATCTGCTTGGTGTTCATCAAAGAGAATGAGAAAATACACGGATGCGTAGTGTCATCTGGGTAGGATTTGGCTAACTCTGTTTTTCAGCAGCAATTTTGTAAGTATTCAGATAACGAAAAGGAACACTTCGGTTCAGAAAAATACCACACAATTCTCAGACTTTTAAATGCATTACTTATTTTAATCTATATGAAAATATCTTAGTCTAGGCACCAGGTTTATTTCATCACACACAGCCATTTAAGTGGCAATAGTAGGATTAATATAAAACTGAAAGCTGGTAAAAAGAAGGAGATGCATCTTAAGATTAAGAATTCTTTCAGTGCTTTTTTTTATTTGCTAAATTAAAAATGTGTAAAATAGCTTTAAATAACATATACAGTTGCTGTAGTGGTTCAATTTATATTTCACCTACAGTATCCATTTTGGCTGCATACAGTTGTGGTTTCAGAACAAGCTTAGTGAGTTTGCTTGCTATGAGCTTTTCTTGAAAAGTGTAGATAGAATGTTTTAGGAAGAAGCTGCTTCTATTCTTGTGCTTTCAAATCTTACTCTTATTCTAACTTTTTGCAAAACTGTTCTTTTCTAATTTCATGTAACCAGTCTTTTCTGCAGTGTGTTTTGTTGCATTCTTAGCTTCTGAAGTTCTGTTCACATATAAATACAGCCTTCAGAATTTAGTTTTAGTGTGATCCATTCATTTTTGCACTTTGTTTAATATACACAGTAGAAATAAGTGTTAGTAATCAGGTTTCCATTTTTTATGAGTCACATCACTAGAAATTAGATACTTTCCAAATGCTCATTTGTGGTTTTTTTACCAGACTCAGTTTCTAGTTTTCATTTGTGATTGAGTGGGCATTTCTTATAGGCTGATTAACTTGACTAATCCCAGGCAAAGAATGGAAAAGAAAACGTTTGTAGGGAATTCCATTCCTTTTGACAGTTAGCATTGTATTATGGATGTATTATTTGATGAATTTTATATAATTCTTCATTATTGAAGTTCATAAAGGTGTTTTTACAGATGTAATACATATTTTAGATGAAAGTCACTAGCTTTGCTAGAACACGAGATGATCAAAGTATTCTGAATAGAACACATATAAAATGGATTTAAACCGGGTAAGAGACTTCACAAATGACTGAACAACAGGAAATAGTCTTTGAAAGGCAGTATTTCTGGCAGGGTTGAAAAGTATTATGTTCTTCAATATTGTTATCAATAATGTAACATAAATATTGTACTACCACTCAGAACATTTGCCAGTGACAAAATGATTATGGCTTAATAAGCATTGACAAGGACAGAGCCATTATGCATAGTAATACAGCTTGTAATGGTAAGCATTGGCCATTATAATAAACTACATCTTAATGCTTCTGTAGTCAAATGTGCTCTTGTAGGACAGGGAAAATAGTGTCCATTTTGGAGTTATAACCAATGTCCAGGAAGGAAGTGACTTTGAAAAGGCTTTAAAAATAATGGTAGTAAATGACTCAACAGAAAACTCCCAGCAAATGCTGTATAATATAGCATAAATTTGATAATAATATAAAAATTATTTTTTGCACTGTTAGTATGAGGTGAGTATGTTTTCATTTTTGATTTTGCAGTGTGTTCTCATTAATTCTGGCATTTAAATTGTAAACCATGTTGAAGAACTTGCCAAATGTAGAGAAGAGCTTCAAATGTGAGTCAGGCTAGAGAAACACATGCAGATCAGGGACTTCAAGGTTGGCTTGCTGAGCTACTAAAAAAGAACTTAATAGTATAACTGTTAGTGTACAAATAACTTCATTGGATCAAGGTTTGTGTTCTAAAGTCTCTTTAATGCAAACACAGGAAGGACTAGATCTCAAGCAAAGCAAATTCGTAATTGAAAACTGTGAAACAAGCAACCAGAGAAAGTGATAGCTTTTCTTTCTCAAGAAGTCTTCAAAGTCTGAAAAACGTGTGAGCCCCCACAAGGAATGTAACAGACTGCTGGAAATAAAGACTGAAATTCTATGACTGCAACACAGAAATCAGAATAGCTTATTTAAGTGAATTTCTGCTCTTAAAGGTAAAAATATGTGGTAATTTCTGAGCATTATTGTCCTGATTACAGAGATGTGTTTAACTTACCAGTTAATTTACTGAAAAAGTGTGCTGAAAAATGGGTGGAGAAAAGCAGTGCCTCAGAACAGCAGTCTCTCAGGAGACACTGGAGGAGTTGAAGGGAAATGTCTGTGGTGATTTAATCTCTTTTACAACAACCTACAAAACTGTTTTTACTTAGACTGGGAAAGAGCTGATGGACATAAAAGAGTGCAAGAAGCTGAGCAGAATTGAAAGAGATTTTCTGTTAAATGAGAAACAGCAGTCACTGAAGTGAAGCTAAACTGAAACATAGCCCTCTCTTCTCCTTTTATTCTTTCCACTGAGATTGCCTAAAGAAGGAACTTCTGCTTAAATTGGAATGTAAGAAAAATATGCGTTTAGAGCATTTATGGGTTTAATATTTTTAGAAGTTTTATATTTACTGTCAAAGATGACTTTTGACTCTGAGGACTGCTATGCCAAATGCTGAAATGTAGTCAGGCTTCAAGCTTGACACATACAAAATTATGGTTCAGGGCTGAAACTTGGAAAGAAATACTAAGTTCTCCCAGTATGAAACAAGGGGATGGAGATTGCAGTTAGCCAGTGTCGTGATTACTCCAGTTTGTTTTCAAATTCCCCGTGCTCTGTTTTGGTCTTTGTGACTGAAAACATAATGTTAGAACCCCAGATGCTTAGTCCATCTTTCTGTAGAAGCACTTTGAAGTTCAAGAAAAACAATTGCAACTCTAGTTGTAAATGGTCACAAGATACATCTGTGACATTTATTTTAACTACATCTATTGTTTCACATTTTTTCTATGGAAGGATTTTTAAAATGAATCCGTTTTAAAAAACGCAGAGCACTAGTTTCTTGTAGTCTCTGTTGGAGGATTGAGATTTTCTTTCCTACTTCTGCTGGAACTGCATGGGAGTTGTAATATCAATTTCTGAGTAAAGGTATAAGAATTTTGAACACTTTAAAAAGCTCTTTCCTACCTATAGAGATGTAACATACAGCTTTAGAGTCCTGTTTTCTCCAGTGTCTGTAGGAAACACTGCCATCTGGAGAGAGAAGGAAGAGAACTGTGTTACACCTGATGGCAGGAAAAACTAAAAATTCAGAGTTCAGCAAGTGACATGGGACACATTTTCTTGGGGCAATCTAATAGGCTGTGAGGACAGCAGGGCATCACTTACACAAGAGCAGGACAACTGTGATTTTGTTGATGGAGTGTCCTCAGCAGGGCATCTCAAGTTTCAGGAATGGTCCATGCTAGCAATAGCTATCTTTCTGAGGCTGTGAACTGCCCTGAAAATGAATATGAGCCCTTGCAGCATAGAAATGAGGAACTTCAATTTTTGCTGAATCATTTTTCTATGTCTTAGAAGAGAATAGCCATGATAAATGCAATGCAGTAAAAGAATAGGAGCTTCTGGAGTTCCATGCATATCAATAAGTTCCAAAACTGCTATTCCTCCATCTTTATTATGATATAAAAGCTATCAAAATCCAAATACCTCCTCTCCCACTTCCTTTCAACATTATGGAGCTTAGTACAAAGCATAGTTGGTTAGTTTGATAGTATTTTTATAATATAGTTCGAAGTGCACATCTGTGCATGATGCATACTTGCAAACCTCATAAATAGGGCTGATATCCCCATTTCTGAGGACAGAAAACTCAACAAGGAGGTTGTGACCTGACCAAAATCTCATGAGATTTAGGTATCTTAGGTACCAAAGGCTAGCTTAGTCCACAGATTTAGTACCACAGATTCGGTACCACAAAGCCCATAAAATCAAAAGTTTTCAACTTAAGGAAAAACATCTGAAGCAGAAAACTATATGGGAGAGAAAACATTAAATAACTATTCAGGATGGTAACTGTAACTTAAATGATCAAGAGAGAGAGGTCTTGGCACATCTTTGAAACTGTCAGCTCAGTGTTACTGCTATGCCCAGTGGCCATTCATAAAGAGAAATATAAAATTTAAGAAACAGAAAACAAATAGCGAGACACTCTTCTGCTAAAATAACTCCTTACTAGTGATGAAGTTCACATGTATTGGCTCAGAAATAACCCTATTTCCAAAAGCATTTTGGAAAACCAGAAAAATTGTAAGAAGACAGTGAAATAATAGGCAGTTTGGGGGAGGTTCCTCACAAGGATGGACTGAAGAGACCAGAATTTACAGCTTGCATCTGTGCAGGGCAATCTAGCAGAAGGCCTCTTAAGATCATAAAAGTTTGGAGAAAACGTTTAGAAAATAATATTTAGTAATCTTTTCATAGCAAAAGAGATATCAACGTGCCAAGGCATTGTCAGGAATGGAAGAGGTTAATATTTCTAACTGTGGAATGAGTTTGGGCATTTCTTTCAGTTGATTATTATTTTTCCTTCCAGAAAAGCAGTGGCTATTCATTAATCAGAGAAGTGGAATAATTAAAGGGTCTGCTCAGGAGAATGTGAGTAGACAATCACTTTTAAGCTGGTTTTAGTTCTTACGGTCTGACTTTAACAGTAGAATTTTAAAGCTGTTTAGCAATGTAGATACATTTGCCCTCCGGAGTGCTAAGAATGTTAGGGTATTGAATCTTGATCATAAACCCAGATTCTGTATTTCTTATGTGAAGGGGTTTTTCTTAAGAAGTTTTCACTTGGTTTGCAGAAGGCATTTACTAAGCTTTTCAGGTTAGATCTAGTCGTAAGAAGACAGGACACACATTGTTTAGGAATGATAGCTAGTTAATCATTATCTTTTTCCTAAATTTTCAGATCTTTTTTATGACAGCTGCAGTGTCCTTAACTGCTAATTCAGAGAAATTAAGAAATCCAGCCACAAGAATACATAAGTGCTGTAAGTACCAGCTAACTATTTATCTCTGCTAGTGTACAGTAGTATAATAGATTATGTATGGATATACTGATTACCACCATATGATTATTGGACAAATTACTTATGATCAGTGCTTTTCCAGTGAATTCAAACACACTGCTGCTATTACTGTAC